GTCAAATTACATTCATGTGGGGGATTGTTGGAAAATTGGTTTTTATAGGCTTATTTCGGGCCAACTTTGAGCCCAAATTTAAGTAGGTCTCAAACGTCTTTTGGGGTAGGTTCGAAGAGGTGACATGTTCCTTACCACATGGCAAGTCACACGGTGAAGACGGTTCGTTAAAACCATTTATGAGTGAATGGGAACTTAACGTCGTTTTCGAGTTCGTGGAATTGGACAATTAAAGAATAAATGTGGGTTTCCTTGTAAGGCTTGTCCCACATTGAAACTTGAAGAGAACTTATGTGTGTATATAAGTTTTAGGTAACAACACTTGGGTTAGGCTCCAAATGGCACCCCAAGTTTGTAGAAGGGATGAGTTATGGACAAATTACACCTAGGCTCAAACCACCACAACCGCGTTGTCGCGCCCGACCGGCCAAGGGTATGGGTTGTGGGTCGATTCTAACATTAATTTTTTGAACAAAATTTATTTGAAATTTTTCAAATTATTGTAGGAAATTATTTGAATTCAAATTTTTTGTCCAAAAATTGTGCCTCCAAATTCCACTAAATTCCCAACTGTTTAACAGGTTTTTTAACTGCCAGACAGATTCAAAATTGCCCAGCCGTTTCTAAACAGATTCAAAACTGCTACAGTTATCTGTTCAAATTTGAAACTGCACCTGTTGAATTCAAAACCAATCTGTTCATTCAAAATTCACACCTGTTCGGACAAATTGTTTGCCTATAAATAAAGGCTATTTCCAGCAATTTTTTGCATCCGAAAACATCCATAAAATATTTTGTTCTCTTCCCATTTTGCTCTTTCTTTGCATAATTCTTCATATTAATTTTTGGAAAATACTTTGAGAGTATAAAATACAGGTTTGGTTCGCCATATAAATTGTTTAGAGTGTTAATACAATTTGTGAAGCTCATTGTATCCTGAAAGCCCATTTATCCGTAAGAACCGTAACGGGACGAATCTATCTTAAGAATAAAGTGTCACACACTTAATTTGATCTTTTAAAATTTTATTCGATTCAGTAAAATAAATTCTATAAGTAATTTATTTTTATTTATTCATTTCAATTTATTTATTTTACATAAAAAATTGTTCCAATAATTTTCAAATTATTATGCGTGTTTTTATGAGATGAATAGAATTTGATTTAACCTATTTTGATCAGTTGGTGAAAAATAAAGTCAGCCTAACCCATCATGGTCATTGCCTTTCGTGTGATCTCATTGGTCGACAGTACAACTCGTACATACCATTGTGCTGCCCTTGCGCTACTAAATAATTTTCGGTCAAAGATGCAAAGGGCGTCAAATGTTTGAATGGTTAATTACATTTACACCTTTATACTTTTATCAAAATTTCATTCTAATCCTCGTGAAAAGAATACGTTTCACGGATTTACTGGCTTTCGGAGCTCTGGTATTAGCAACACAAAGAAACTGCCAATTCTACAGTCAAGTAAAATGCATACTAGTCATCATACAAATAATTCCAGACATTTTGAAGTTCATGATAGGGACATTGTGAAAATTCACATTCATAATTTACATTAATCAGCCATGCACAAAAAAATGAGCTACAAAATTGTAAGTTGTCACTGCAAAGGAAGAGTGTCGTATCCGATGATCTTCAAAGACGGCATCAAAAAACTGCTCCTTCAAACCTGTTCTGACACAATTTCCAATTAATATTCAACCATCTCCTAAAATTGAAATAGGGAGACTCAGAAATCTTTGCACAGACCAATTCTCAAGTGTATTTTAAAAAATGAGTAACTATCGTGGTCAGGCTCTACACATGCAGGGAGTCAAAGGGTTCTCCCAGAGATCGTAGTTAGGAAAGGTTTCTTCAGGCAATCCTGCCCGTGTCTGGTGGGTGATGATAGCATCTTCCACAAAGGTGGCCCAGCCCATGTAGGGGTCCCCTAAAGATTTGGACATAAGTCCCTTGTCTGGTTTTATGGACTTGAGCCGGTGACCCATGTACCTACGAGCCCCAATTATCAGTTTCGCAAAGTTGCCACCATGGGTCATCACAAACACATCGGACTTCAAGCAGACCAAGAAGTCGAGTGCTGCCAAGCTTGTCACATGCTTCCTGAAGCCATCCAACTCCTCTTTGCTTGCCAACTCCTCCTTTGTGACCTGTTAGAAACACCCAACATAATCATATGAACTACAAAATTCGAGTAAAGAATACAAATAAAATATAATCAGAGACAACTGGGCAGTAGGTTCATTTACTGACACCAAACAGAATCAGAAATACATTGGCAATATAACTATTTCCATAATGTTTCCTCTGCAATTCATCACAAAATCAATAAGAAGAAACTTAGGCGACATCATTTGATGACATTCTAGAGATGATTCTACATAAAACATGAATATTCATTTCAAAGATCCAATTTGAAATACACGAACACACAAACAAACGAATAAGAAAAAGGAAAGTAAGAACTCATAAAGTTTCATGCTCAATTTGCTATTTAAAAATGTGAACAACTTGATTTCTATGGCACACTTCTAATAATCTAATACTAAATTGCATACTTGTACAAAATCATCGTCTAACTTAAGCTAAAGTTTCTTAGAAGCACTAAAGAGTAGCAAAAATTGGCTTAGTGAGATTTTGGCAATGTAAATTTTGAAAATGGTAGCTATGCTTTATATTTCAGATGGCAACAAGGGATCGCACAAGAAATCAAGTAAAACGCCTTACAAGATTTGGGAACATGTTCCTGAGAGGTGCCATGCGGTTCTGTCCACCATAAACCTGCCCAGAAGCAACATAAATTTGAGTTTCTTTGGGATAGCCCATCGCCCGAAGAATGACTGCTACTTCTCCAGGCTCTAAAGGGCACCGTCCTTCCTTCCGCTTTTGCAGGGCCAAAGACCATAGATGGGAACCATTCTGCAGGCCAAATCACCACAAAGAAAAAAAATCATATCACACATCCACGTCTCTTCAGTTCTAGTCCCAAGAAACCAACAAGAAAATTAAGCTCTAGGTCACCTTAAACCGTCGAGGCCATTCTTTCTGTCTATATAATGCCATTAAAGCTTTTTCCTCCCTTGTTCCCACAAAATCACAGAATGATAGGCCTACCATCCCTTTTTCGAATCTAAGATGGAGAGCCCTGTTAAGGAAGAAATTTGAGTCTTACAGCAAGTGAAAAAATAAAACAAATCAAACTATATGGTTGAGCCAAGTTTCACCAAGGAACATACCCAAGCCACTTACATGTAAGGATTTGAACTGCCTGTGCGGTTTCTCATTCTTGATGCAAGTAGATCAGCCATCTGTTCAATATGGGGAAGAAATTTCAGAGCATGATAATTCACCCTGCACCTTAGCTTGTTGATTCCTGGAGGAACATTGTCATACCTGAACAAGAAAGACTCAGAATAACAACTTAAAAATAAATTACCTTAAAAGAATATAAACAAAGCCCGTTTTGGTGATAGATCCGTACAACATCCACAACTTACCCGAGTCGATCAACAAAAGGTTTTAGGGACATTATCTTCTTTTCCTTGACCCTAGGCAAGACGTTGTCAATGTAGAATTGTGCTGGAGCATACTTGGGGATGTTTTTAACTGTCCGTCTATCAAGCAATGGCAAGATCTTTTAGAGACATTTGTGCCAAGTGGAACATCATGATACTCATAAAAATCTTAGAAGTTCCATTTCTGGAACTATTCTGAGGTTTAATCTATTAAGTAAGACCATCTCCAACGGTTCACCAAATTTAACATTAAATTTTAATTTTGATGAAAAAGTTATTGTTTGGTGCTCCAACGGTTGCACCAAATCGATATCAAAATGAGATTTCACCAAACGATTCATCAAACTGAGGACAAAATACAGAATTCAGCAAAACACTATGCGTGACCGTTGGAGGGAGGAACCGGTTAACCAGTCGGTTGCCCGGCTGGTTGACCAACCGGTCGACCGATTTCCTTTCAAATAAGTAGGTTCAAACCGGTCAAAAAAAATTCAAACAGATAAAAAAAAAAATATTATTTTACCTAACCAGTTGACCGACCGATCGACCAACCGGTCAACCCACCAGCAAACTTACTAACTTAGGCTTCCTCTTTTCAATTTTCTTTACAGAAAGCATCTGACATTGTTTCATCAATTGTTTCATTTGTTTCATCATTGAACCTACCTAATTGTTTCATCTTTGCAGAAAGGTGCAATTTGTTCATCTTTGAAATATTCTAAAAAACATAGCGTTCAAACATAGCGTTCTAAAAAGCATAGCGTTTAAAGCTGATAAAAAAAAATATTTACGCTTACCAGTCGACCCACCGATCGATCAACCGATTGATCCAATCAGGATTTGATACATCGTTGGAGCTAGTGATATCAGATTTGGTGAAATGAGTAATTTTTTACTTAGATTTGGTGAAAAAAGAAATTCACCGTTGGAGATGCTCTGATAGTTTAAGTTGGAAGCTTTTATCATATTTTAGGTTGATGGTTCACCAAACTATACAGTGAGAATATGCCTCTCTAATAGGAGATCAACTTATATAATTTAAAGCCTTTTTTTAATAATTAATGTTATTATTATTATAATAAAAGGGTTTCGAAATTTGGATTATATAATTTAAAGGTTTTTTTTTAATAATTAATGTTATTATTATAATAATAAAATGTTTCGAAATTTGGAGACCGTCACCCATCTCCCGAATTGGGTCCATCTTGCCTGCATGACTACAATTAATTATATTTTTAAAACAATATTTTGCTCCAAATGCAATGATGCAAGTTAATTCTACGATTATGATCACATGGATGACAATGTAACAAGGCACATGTCGGAGAGAACAGGAGGTTAGTTGATTGACTTTGATTTATTTTTAGTTTCTATAATCAACATTCTGAACAAATCAAAGTTCGATTTACTTTGAGCGAGACTATCATTTATAATCACATAATTTTATTATATTTAATTTTTAAAAATAAATAATGCATATAATTTTATAAATAGATCATATATTTTTATTAAAAATAAAGACATTGAAATCACATGAATATGACTTTAGAATGAATTTGATTTTTATTTTTTATTTTTAATATGCATATGAGTTTACAAAATGATCGAATATGATAAATTCACCAACCTAAACTATGCCTTTCTAATTCCCATTAGCGAGCTTCCATTTACTTTTTATTTTATAATCCTACATTGAAAAAAGAAAGAAAAAGTGAATTGCTTCACTTACATAGAGTGAATCTTATACTCCTATTTATATAAGCAAAATGAGATTTTTAGTGAGAAGCCCTATGATCAATATCTCATACTCATTTTTTTGATTTTCTTAATTTTAAACAATTAAGAAAATCCCCATTGATTGGCTTCATTAAGCTTTTATTATAGTTTAGGTTGAGGGTTTACCAAATTGAACGATGAAAATATGTCTCTTTAATAAGAGGCCAACTTATATAACTTAAAGGCTTTTTTTAATAATTAATGTTATTATTATTATAATAAAAGGGTTTTGAAATTTGGAGACCATCACCCATCTCTCCCAATTGGGTCCATCTTGCTTGTATAACTACAATTAATTATATTTTTAAAATAATATTTTGTTTCAAATGCAATAATGCAAGTTAATTCCACGATTACGACCACATGGATGACAATGTAACAAGGCGCGTGTCGGAGAGGAGAAGAGGTCAGTTGATTGACTTTAATTTGTTTTCAGTTTTTATTCGTAACATTCTGGACAAATTAAAGTTTGATTTACTTTGAGCAAGACTATCATTTATAATCACATAATTTTATTATATTTAATTTTAAATAAATAAATAATATATATAATTTTATAGATAGATCATATATTTTTATTAAAGATAAATATATTGAAATCACATGAACATGACTTTAGAATGAATTTGATTTTGTTTTTTAATATGCATATGAGTTTACAAAATGATCGAGTATGATAAGTTTACCAACCTAAATTATGTCTCTCTAATTCCACAAGCAATATTTTTTTTCAGATGCACCTTCTATAAACAAAAATCTGTGTCGAAGAAATTTGAACAAAACACATCCCCCAAAAAAAATGTAATAAATTTTTAAATGGATTTTTTAGGGTTTGAAATGTAAATTTTTTTTTTTTAAAATTTATTGTTGTTGCTCCAATTTGTTCAAAATGGCTCTGAGTTGTTGTTGTTGTTATTGTTGATGATGATGATTATAACAGATAAATTGTGAATGGTGAGTGATTTAATGGTTGATTTTACTCTGTTTTTGCAGAAAGAACCAAAGGAAGAGAGTGATGATGATACCAGATTTTCTTTATTTGATTAGGAGCTACATTCAGTGTGCGTTTTGGTATTCCTCTAGATAATTAAGAATTATGTGAGTGTTTACCAGTTGATACCCCTTAGGATGGTTTATCAGATGTTTTTGAAGAAAAAGTTAGGGTTAGCGATGAGGTTCAGCATGAAAATGAGTTTTCTCAGTTAAAAATTGGTGCTTCAATGGTATTTGAATTTGTGAAACTAGATCTGTAACTATGAAAGATCTAAAGAGATGATGAAAATGAAAAGATAAAAGGTAGATCTATTTGAAAAAAAATTAGGAGATATGGGATTCTCTTTGTTTGATTAGGAGATTTTTTATTTTTTATTTTTTTGATTTTGCTTTTGTGTTGAACATATAATTTTTTTTTGTAATTTGTTGTTGCAGCTAAAAATTATATAGATAAAATTTGAGATCTGTTCAAAATAGATTGGTCTAGAAAATGCAACAAATTAGAAAAATGACTTTAGTAGATAAGACTTTTAAATAAATAGGGTTTGATTGAAGAGATAAATTTCTACATATAGCTTTTATTTGGACAAAAATTAAACAGATAAAAAAATTGACAAATAAGAATTTCAAAAGATAGATTCAACAAATAAAAATAATTTGAACTTTACGCAGAAAAATTTTGAACAGTTAGACAAGAAATTTAAACATTCAGAGAAAAAATTTAGATAGATAGAAATTTTTTTGAATAGATAGGGAGAAATTTCAACAGATAGATATAAATTTGAACAGATAGTCAACAAAAAGTCAATGAATTAAATTGAAAACAAAATATTCTCCAAGACTTCTCATCAAACTATTTTACAAAGGGTGGACGTCTCATTAACAAAACATATTTACTGGACTTAATGCCTTAGACAATTGTTAGAAGAGATTTTTCACGAATTATTTTATGCATAATTTTCATATATAATAACTATTGAAAAAGTTTGTCATGGAATTTTGTTTTTCATTGTACACAACATTAGCAAAATATATTTTTCACCCAAATAAACGAAGCGTAAATGATAAATAAAATATAATAATTATATTATTATTAAATATTTTATTAATTAAAATTATTTGGAGATGTTTTCATCACTAGCTAGTTGTAGCAATTGCTTGGTGTAGAACTAAAAGAATAATATTATAAACTCTAAATATTCTATCAAATGTCTTACATTCGTGTGAGATCCACATGGGATCCACATAGTATGGATCTCACACATATGTAAAACATTTGGTAGAATATTTGATAAAATATTTAGGATCTCTAGCATTTTTCGAACTAAAATTGCCAACAGGTAGACAAGTTCAATGGAGTACATCTATTAGTTTATGCTACTACCGTCATCAAAATGATAATAATAAATAAATAAATAAATAAATATATAAAAATTACAAGTAAGGGTATATTTCTTGTTAGAGACTCTTATAACATGATCTAGAAATTCATAACAAGGATTGAGTTTCACATGATTGATTTTAAAACTAATCAATAATTGATACGGTGAGAGATTGTAAGTGAGAGGATTGATGGGGGTGCTTGGTTATAGATAGTTAAAAAAGTTATTTGTGATAATTTTTCCAATGGCACTAATTAGAAGGTTAACAGAGAGGCGTTTTTCTTGGGTATGGGAAAATGATCTATTCCCACAAAAATCTTTTATAAAAGTACATTTTCATACACTCTGACCGGTAAGAGTTTAGCGCTACAAAATAAAAAAATAAGTTTTTACTAATTAGAGTCTACAAAAAATAATTTTATAAGAAATTTTTTTAAAGATGTAACACGACTGTTTGGTATATTGTCAAAAAGGGAAAAGGGGGCCAAAAAAAAGAAAAAGATCACTTTACTTTTCGATTATTTCGTGCTTTCAGGGACCACAATTTATGTTGTATTAATTTCATCAACTTTTTGAATGGATCATCTCCGGTTGGAGTAGAGGTTCTGTGCTTCTGTTTAACTTCGTGAGCTTGCTTGCCTACCTACCTCAATTATTCAAATTATTTACCTTTTAAAGTTTATTAAACGGATTATTTATACAAAAACTTAATTTATTAAGACCAATGTAATCGATTATGTGACTAGTGTTGTCTAATCATATTGTATCTATTTGGTTTTGAAGAATAATTTTTTGTATTTTTTATTTTTTATTTTGTATTTTTGTGTTTTATTAACTTCTTTTATATTTTAGTCAATTTTTATTTTAAAAATATTTAGATGCACCTAATCCACGTGTAAAAAAGTAAAATATTTGTAAATTTTTTAAAAAAAATCCAATTATCTAAAAAAATTATCAAACTATTGAACCCA